GGCTATGTTTACACTTAAAATGTTACAGTGCATAGCTGTTGCGCTTCAGTGCGGGCAGTATGGTGATGTGAGGTGGCTGCTGTAGCTGTAGTTAATTGATCTCTGAGGTATTTGCTAGGTTGATGGAAGAATTCTTCTCTTGACCTACTGTGGTCTACCTCCAGGTTTAGATCAACTTAACTAGCTCTCAGGGTATGGATTTTCATCTAACTTTTCAATGTAGTTAGGAAAAATATATTGTGGATTTGTACAAACCTCAGTAACTCACTTATGCAACCAAGAATCAGTTCCTAAACAGTTTTAACCAAATAGATGGCTAATTGTCTCTCTTTTCCACAGTGTGTTTTATGTCTTTTATGAACAGTATCTGACAATTGTGCATGACACCATCTTTAACCTCTGCATCTCCCTGGGATCAATATTTTTGGTGACAACTGTGTTGCTTGGCTTTGAAGTGTGGGCTGCTATGGTGGTATCCATTACTATTGCTATGATACTAGTCAACATGGTTGGAATGATGTGGCTTTGGGGCATAAGCCTGAATGCTGTTTCACTGGTTAACCTTGTCATGGTAAGGGGTGTTTGTGTATTTAAAGAGACTATAATGTTCTCTGTACAGAGCATGGATGGAAAATCGACTTGAATTACATCCTTACAATTGCAACTTAATATCTGTTTTCTAATCAAAACTTGCTAAGGGCGTTTAAACAAGAGAGTTTACAGTGGCATGGCTGAGCTGCTGTCCAGACTAACACTTATGTTGCTGTAAAACTACATTGCTCAGCAGAATGATTGCCTCCTAAGTGACACAAATTATGCTGACATAAGCTGTAGGGTAGACATAGCCTTAGATGTTCTGACAGTGAAAAGGTTAATTTCTTATATTGTGCTTTAGAAAAGCTGCAAAGTCCCCCATGTGTACAGATACTGATGGATAACTGCACAGGGTGAAATTGGTTATGTGCGCCATCTCTTTTACAGGCAGTATGCATGCACAAAAGAACAGAGCTTGGTAATGTCGTCTTTAACTTCATTCCACAACAATTGCTGCAGCGTACATCTGTAGTAAAAACAGAATGCATATCTCATTGTCTAGACCTGGTCTTTTGTGTGCATGCACGCACATGCCATACTGTATCTATACCTTTAATCACTGCAAGGTTAACACTTTATCCAATTGATGCCTCTATAGAATAGATCTATGTGCACTAGAAACACTACAGCTGCTGAATCAAGTAAAAATGCCCATGGCCAATCATAGTTAAGGGATACAGAAGCATCACCAATACAGGTTGTAAAACAGTGGAAGGGAGCACTTTAAACTGCTAAGTGTAGATAAATCATTTCTTAAACAATGGGTTTAAAGCAAGCTGAAAAGGGCAGTTGGCACTCTTGTGCCAGACCGTGTCTGTTGTAATGGAAATATGTGGCAAATCAGTGAAAGCCTGGAAAAACCCTTTTTAGCTGTATTTGTCCTATAGGCGAATGAGAATCAGACAGCCACGAACTATGTACGTGCAGCTCATTTCTTGACGCTTCGTGTCCTGTCCATGCTAGACAATGTTACTGATGGAGTAAACTAAACGTACAGCTGAAGGAAGGATTTAAACCAAGAGATGCACTTAGCACTTTCTTCTGAGGTTGTGCCAATGAGGGAACATAATTCTAAATGCCTTTTTTCAGTGGAGACTTAGAACTCTCTCTCTGAATTTTTTCATAATGCAATTTAGATAGGATCTCAGTGGGTATTAATCTGTAAATACTGGACCTATTTTTGGAGTGAGATCAACATCTCAAGGTTTGATGCATTAGAGAATGAATCAGACTAATTGTGTATCTTTCCTCCCTCTCCCTTGTTCAGTCAGTAATCATCAATCACTAGTAAGTTTCCTAGGGGGTCAATACTCTGGTGCTCTTGCATATTAAGTGCTTTATTAAATTATACTTCATTCTCTGAGCTATGTGTTCACGGTTTTATCACCAGAACCCCTTTCACCATTTGCCCTGGAATCTCATTGTTCCCAGCTTTTTAAAAAACACTTTGTTATCCAAGATGCCTAACAATGTTATAGCGCCTCAGGTATTCAGTTGGGGGGCTGAAGTGATACATTGGTACCTGGAAACTAATTGATCTGTTCTTACTTTAGAGCTGTGGTATCTCAGTGGAGTTTTGCAGTCATGTCACAAGAGCATTCACTGTTAGCACTAAGGGTAGCAGATCAGAGCGTGCAGAAGAAGCACTCTCCCGCATGGGCAGTTCTGTAAGTATCTGTTCCTTTTGTAAATAATGTTCCTTTTGTGTAGACAAAATCACTTCAACAGAAGTTCGTTTCCTATCATCACTGCAGTATTAATCAAGAGGAAGTTATCTTACTACAGTCTTATGTTGTAGGATCAACTTTTATCATACTGAGTGTCATTCTGCAATGGTTAAACTTCTGTTATAATGGTGTCTGCTTCAGTTCCCTAGTCTAGATTTGTTAACCCTTGTTTTCAAGCCTGTAACTTCTGATGGAATTGATTGTAAATTGTGATGCTTAATTTTAGAAAATTTAATCTAGCTACTCATTAGATTAATGAGGTCATTGCCTATAGTTTAAAAAAATGCTTGTCACTTTATTGGCTCTGCATTCTAGAATTCCAAATTGTACAAACGGTTCTTAACTTCTCTTAGGTTGTCTTTAATGTAGTTAACCTTTTGGTGGTGCTTTCAACCAAAATTAGTTAGGCTAAAGCCTAAGTAAAGCTTGCCTTCAGCTAAAACATGTTATGAACATACCTTTGTGGGGATCTCTGTAGTTACTTGGGATCAGTCTTATTGCAAAGCAACATCTTAGTAGGTGTTCTCACTGGTGGTGCATTACTCAATGTATGTCACTAGGACTTCCAGGAGCATGGCTCTTAGCACTACGAGTTGCTGTGGCTCTTACACAATTCACTGGAAGAGAAATCTTCCATCCTTCTGAGTGTACAAAGGGAACTGTTTCAGACAGCACTACAATGGTTTAGCCTGTGTCATCACTATTAACATAGGTAGGTTAACAGCCTGATTACAAGCTTTAGTGAACCACTAGCCTGGAGTGGAAACATCACTGAAATTGGGTCTGATGTCTCTGTGAACGGGAATTAGGTTATTTTTTTGGATGTTGTCCCCAGCCTGAGTTAAGAACTTGCAGTGAAGTCATGCCCACAGAATAATTCTCAGTGAACATAAGGGCAACTTCAGTTTTCCCACCTATTAGCAAGTCAAGATAAACCAGAGGACTTTTTTTTTTCTAAGGAAGATGCTCCCATGCAGATGTCTTTAGGGACATAAATATAATTCAAGCACATGAGGCTCTTGAAATTAAAATCAGCTAGCTATACCATGATTAAATGGAACCTTATTGTGATCATCACACCATGTCACATAGAAAGGGAAACAGTCAAAACTTTTAGCTAAATCAGAATTCCCTCTTCTAGTCTTTGTTCCTCTAACATCTAAATATAAAGTGAAATTACTAAGGGGGTAAGAGGAAGTAGTATTACAGACAGATGCCAAGTAGACTTTCTTGATCTTATTTCCTCGATTACCTGCTGTCCTTTTTTGAACTTCACTTATTTTAAGATTGATCCCTATTATTCTTCCTCTATTGTTAAATTTACCCCTACTCTAGATATAGTATAAGGATGATTGTACTTTCAAGAAATATTGAAATATTTCAACGTGCAGAGTATCTTTCCTACTCAATGTTTTGCTATTGACTCAGTCACTACCATATTTTGCATAAGCACTTACTTTTAATTTCTTCTATTATCAGGTTTTCAGTGGTATCACGCTGACAAAATTTGGAGGAATTGTAGTGTTGTTCTTCTCCAAATCCCAAATCTTTCAGATCTTCTACTTCAGGATGTATCTAGCCATGGTGGTGCTTGGAGCTACCCATGGATTAATATTTCTTCCTGTTCTGCTTAGTTATATAGGTAAGGATAAATTTGACTGTTAAAGATGGATTTTAAAATTCTCTCCTGCTAATTATCCCTTTCATTCAGTGAGAAAATAAGCCCACAATTGTATATTTATATCAACTTGTCTGTCTTTAAAAATAGCTAGGGATACCTGGTATAGCTACTTCAGATCACCTACTTAGAGTAAGAGGACAAATTACTACAGACAACTGTCTAAGTCTGTTTACAGCGAACTTTTCACCCTCCCTTTTCAGGAGTCTAATTATAGTAGCACACATTGTGGTAATGCTGAAGTGCTACTAAGTCTAATTTCTTAGTGTTTCCTTTCCATCTTTAAATGAGACTCCTTCCCACTCTACCCTGTGGTACAGATGTTCACTATCAAACCGTCATAATTAGCAAGAACATCTGTTAAAGGAAAAATGCTTAATTCTGCTTCTCCTTTTTACCAGTTTTAGAAAGGGGAATTTTAAATCTATGCTTTCGTAGATCACTTCTGTTATGAAAGTGTATATTAACTAGTAGGGCAGTAGCAGCTGTGCTGAATATAAAACTTAATCAAATTTAGTTTGGCATATAGTGTTAAGATCAGCTCACTTAAAGAAAATTCCTGCCAAGACTCAATGTTTAGGGGAAATACATAACTGGAAAGCAGATAATCCCGTTTGACTTTGACTAACAATACTGCCCACATTACTGAAGGATTTCAGAATGTAACTGTCCCTTTTCTTTTACTCAGGCCCATCAGTAAATAAAGCTAAGACTCGTGCTGCACAAGAAAGATACAAAGGTACAGAACGAGAGAGACTTCTCTACTTCTAGCCCTTTTAACAGTGTTCAGTGGACTTCATGAACTGTGGCTTAGGCCCCATTCAGCATAAGACTGAATTGATTGCAGCAATGTTCTATGACTATCACACTGTAACCACTGGTTGAGTTGTGGTTCAATCCAACTACAGGATAAAGCAGCTTTGGACAAAGCTTTCAAACTCAGGAAATGGTACATGTGACTCGAGGACTAGTATTACTAAAACTAACAGGATTTCTATTTTAAGAGAGACTGGGAAATAAGTTGAAAGCTTTTTTTTTTCCAGCAAACTCAAGGTAATGTGTGTACGAGAATGGACTGCCAACCACTGACACTACTTTTAAATGCAACTCAATGCAATTTTTGGCTCTATTTTTAGGGGAAAAACAAGCCATCACTTAAGAGGTTGTGTAATATTTTTAGTAATTTGCCACAATGGTCTGTATATATACTTTATTATAAAATTTGTTGTTCAAAATCTTGTTAAATGCAATAAGTTATACATTTTGTATGAATACAGTACACTCAGAAAGTTGTAGGCTTTAGGAGAGCATGTTCTCCAAAAATCTGCTTAAAGGTGGTGACATGTTCTTCACAATGTTCTCCTACAAGACAGGATAAAAGTTTTAGGTACAATGTAATAGGATTTTGTGCTAAAACAAATGGGGTGACAAATTCAGAACAAAAATCAATTGCACTGATACTGGTGTTCAGCTTTTTCCTACATGGAAGCTGTCTTTGCTTGTGCTTGTATTTTTAGCTTTTTCATTAGAAGCAGCCACTATTTTTAGCGTGAGCTTCCATTTTGTGATCTAGCACAAAGTGGAAACTTTGTCAAGCTTTTGTTTTTAATTGTGTTTTCAGCTTGGTGATATGGTTTAAGATTGCCTGTAGTGAAAGCTGCTAGGCTAGAAGTACATGTAGCACAAATTTTGCAGTAATGGTAAGGGAAGTATTCACCTAGTTAAATGGAAACTGATAGTAGGTCTTTAGTTTAGCAAGGTTGGGGGTAGGTTGAGACTTACATTTTGGGGTCTAAAAGTGTTAGTCACTAATCCACAATTCCATCCTCCGTTCAAATGATTTCACACAAGGAATGAGACTGTAGGGCTATGTATGGTTTAGGTCAACTTTTGTATGCAGTGGAGTTTTTCAGATTTCTTTACATCTTGATGAGAATGTTCACTTAACTATAACTTTGAAAGGTTCTTTCTGTATGCACACTCTTGTAAACTTGACCTTGGGGCAAAGGGCATTGAAAAGCCTAACTTGCATTTTTCTAATAAAGTTAAGAGACTGTTTGTTTATACTGTGATGTGTAACTTAACATCTACTGCTTAGAACTCCAGGAAACTATCTTAAGATGTCTATACTGTAGCTGGTGTGACAGATGCATGGTAACTTGAGCAGAGGGGGTGCTGCAGCTGTTTGTGTACAAAGGTGGCTGATGGCCTAGATTAGTGTCTCCATGGCTATTTAGTCAAGCCATGTAGGTTGGGAGGCACACTCCCTGGTACAGTGTAGCCACAGCAGGTAAAACATGTAAGTGCTATTCTTTTCATATGCTTATTCATTTTGGTATAAGCATTCATTGGATCCCAGCCTCTGATTAAAGTTAAGAAGTTATCTGCTAAAGTACTGATGACTTTAACATTTGTCATTTTCAAGCAAATACTTGATCTCATGGTAACTTAAATCCTGCCACCAACTAGCATTACAGGAATCTGTACCCTAGGAAAGCTGAGTTCTGTTGTTGGTGGGTTTAGGGATATTAAATGTTAACTCAATAGCCAATTAGTTGAGTAATAAGAATTCATGAAGCTATTCTAGTTTCAGGAGGTGGGGCTGGCACCATTCCCCTGGAGCTCCCTGCCACTCAACACAGTGGTGCCTCTGATACAAAGGCAGTAGTGTGGGGTGTGAGGCAGGAGTTGGTCCACAAAGGGAGACAGTTTAAAAAACAGCTCCTCTTGAAGATCAGCTGCCTGTTGCCCCATCAAGTGTGCTAGGATCGCTTACAGCTAAAATTGACAGCCTGACATGCCAAAAGCCCTATTCATACATTATGAACTGTAAGCTACTACTAACTTAACACCTATTTACAGTAAATGAAGTCAGATGCTGGCTAGCAGATGTAAACTAGATCAACTCATTAAAGGATGAAGTTTACCTGGGGTGAAATTAGGGTTCCCTCGTAACCTCTGATTTCTTTGTTCAAAGAACCTGAATATGGTATAAAAAAGCATGTCGTCATCTGCCTGCTTTGCTGCATCAAGAAACTTGCGGGCAGAAATGCTGTCATGTCCTCCAATACCCCTGATGAATCGCAAGGCAGCCAGCACCTGATGCTTGGACAACAGAACCTCTACTATTTCATCATTTGCTGTAGAAAGTCTCTGCACAGTCAAACAAGATAATCACAAAGTGATTAATATTTCAGGAAAAACAAAATTATGCTGTATTACAGTACTAAATTTAAGTTGCCTCATTTATACACTGATCAGGTACAACAGGATAGGGTTCTTCATAATGTAGGATTATAGAAGAATGTTTACACACATTCTTACCTTTAACATATCCAGAGACAATTGATGTGCAGGTGGATAAATGCTCTCAAGAGACAACAGGAGACAGGCCTGAAACAGTAGCAATAGCCTAACTTTTGAAACTGTACTTTGAAGTATTACCCTTTTAGCTGTTTTAATTTTACTTATCAATCCTATCATGAAATCTGTATTAACATACATACCAGTGGCTTTGAATCACTTAGTACATGATACTGCAGAAACTGATGAAGCATGTAGAACAGGTTGTGCTGAACAAGTGTTTTAATGACTAGTTCATATAGATAATGCTGAGGAGGCAAGAGAGGGAGGGGGGAAATCAAGTTGTCAGTTGTTTTTTTTGGGTTTTTACATGTTCTAGAAGGTGGAACTTAGAAACAAAAGGCTTCTAGTTGAATACTAACTCCTCCTCCCCTCCCCCCCATGCCTGGTTAAGTGTTTTCATTCTGTAGCTCAAATACCAAGGCTACCAGCTTTAGTAACCAATGGAGATGGTACATTTATTTTTTATTTCATGCTTCTGCTTGGTCTGAGTGTCCTGAATTGTACTAAAAGCAACCTTAGAATCATAGTGTCAGGTAGTCATTAGAAATAAGATGCTTAACTTTAAGGTCAGACATACTTCTCACCATATGGTGAATATGCTTCTAAATCTTACTGATTCTTCCTCTCCTGCTTTTTGAAAATCTAGATGCTATTTTGGACTAGTCTCTAGAACCCAAAGGCACTGCTTCTATTACTATAATAATTTCAAGGCCCACACCACTTTCCTCCCCTTGTCCTGGACACAAGAATTAAAAGCATGAGCAGCACTTCCCCTTCTTACTGTTTGAGGAACTTTACCTGGACTGCAATCTGGAATTGGTTAAGAGAGCGAATGTACTCCATCAAGACTGCTATAGTGAACTTGTGAGGTGCTTCCTATGCAGCAACAGGAAAAATTATGGTTGTTAAAATCCTGAAGTGGCAACTTATCTGATTAATGGATGAGTCAGGGCTGCACGTGCACAGCAAAAAACAAAACTGAGAATAGACACTCCCTCCATTCCCCTCATACACCAGCACTTAATGGGGCCCAGGCTAATTGATTACAGGCTGGAGCCCCAATGCTGGAGGGGGAACCTGGATCCAGCAGCAACATTAAGCCCCCAGGGATTAGGGGCCTCACCTCTGGATAAATGGCTTAGATTAGCATCAGATCTTCATGTCCAGTATTAGAAGTTTTATGACTTAACACTCACTAGATTACCCTATTTTTTACTCCTCATAGTTTTGATATTCGACTAGTCTGTTACTAAGGACAGTTTTTGTCCTCCAGAAGAAGTGTAATAAGTACCACTAGTCTTTCCATAGCCCCATCTATCCCACCCTTCCCTGTAGGAAATTTTCCTGGCTAGCCTTATTAGTTCTTTACATTTGATCTATTTGCATGTACAAGTTATGTTTCTTTACTAACCTTCTTTTCAGTAAATACTGACAGAACATGTGTGTACATGTCAGACTGATCAATAACTGCTTGGGTACGAACTGGTCGTTTCAGAAGGGGATTACCTCGGCTCTGACCTGTTTCTACCACCTATAACAAGGCAAAGGGAAGATGAATAGTCTTACAACAGGAAGCTATTTTGTGCTGAGTAGGCTTTATGTACATACACAAGGTTAAGTAATTGAGCATTTATTAGCCTTAGATCAAACCAGTGACTTTGCTGGAAAGGTTAACATTCTGTTTTAACTCTGACAAATATTCTTGACCCAACTTTAAGTCAAGTTTTGGCAGAGCTTAATGCTTATACACACTGTCAAATGATGCTTTATTGCAGTCTAGGTTATTTCTAGTGGTAACCAGCTACTCAATAGGTCCACCAGAAATACTTAAGTTAAGTAGCACCTAAAAGGACTGAATTTTCTGACTTGTGCTCTAAAAATGTTTAAAGTATTGGTTCTGCATCAATATATATAAAGAGTAGTTAAGCTGTAAAGTTGAAACTCTGTATGCATGCAAAGGTGAAGAGACACTTGCTGCAGCTAACTGACTTAAGTTTTCATCACTCAAATGATAACCATAAGGGTTAGGATTTTTTGAAAGTCACTGTCTACGTAGCCATTGGTGAAGATTACTTACCATGGTATAACTCTGCTCTGCTTCCAAGTACTTTTTATATTCATGATTGAGCTTATCAAAAACAGTAGCAACCACAGCCAATGTTCCCCTCTCTGGTTCACTTAACACTGAAAGACAACAGTCAAAGACACACTGATAAAACAGTCTGTCCCTAGCTACTAGAGCAGGGGTGGGCAAATACCAGCCTGCTGGAGTTAGCCCTTTGTGGGCCCCTGCACTGCTATATTTACCTGTGCCTTTGCTGATACTGGGGCACACAGCTCCCATTGACTGTGGATCACTGTTCCCAGCCCATGAGAACCGCAGTCACCTGCGCCTGTGGAGGCACAGGTAAATAGCAGCAGCCGCCTACCAGGGGTAGCCCTAGTGAACTGCCCTTGATTTATTACCGAGCTCTGTACATTTACCACAGATTCTCTACAAAGTGAATGTTACATTGAGGAAATGCTCTGAATCACAGCACAGTAGATCAAATGACTTAGAATGCAAGATGTTTATATTTCCCCTTTTCACTAAGGGCATGCTTACACTATAGGTGATAGAATTGTAGCTGTGCTGCTGAAGCAAATGTAGTGTAGACACTTCCCACATCTCCCCAAGTGGTAGTAGCCTTGTCTATACTGGAGCTCAGATATGTCAACACAGCTAAATCTAAATTAAACATAGGTTACAGTAGGAGCTACACTTAACTGAAATTTCATTTGGTAAAATCAAGAATTGGATTTAAAAAAGGAACCAGATTCATTTTATATTTTTCAAGTGTGCACACACACGATAGCCATCAAACAATTTGTTATGGGAGAGATGCTGGGCAGCACAGACATTATCACAAATAAGAAACTCAGTTCAGAACATGGTTCAGTCGATGCACAGAATTCCACCCTTCCCCCCAACACACACACACACACACTTTAGTCCCTGGTAGTTCACAATAAGACAGTGATTGTATGAGAACTAGTCTTGAATGAGGAGGACAGTGTAGGAAGGCAGACCTGAAATGCTTCAAGAATGAGATGAAGAGACACAACCAGTACAAGTAAGACTTACTCTGAGAACACACAGATAGAATAATCATTTTGCATTCCTTTCTCTGGAGAAGAAAATCCATTAGCTTTCCTTTATCAGGCAAGAGGTTAACCACAGGCTCAAGCCTCACCTCGAGATTCCATAGATAACCTAGTGTGAGAGAATCAACCATCAAGCCTTACATAAACAAAACTTATTATACATATAGTGAGGCCACATGATCATAAGATGAATCTTCCATATCCATACAAGTTATTTTACGCTTAGTTTCAAAATCTTATTCTGCCTCTTAAGAGATATCCAAAATAGATTCATTAAAGTGATAAGCATGTAATTTACCTTCAGTTATGCTTCTTTAACCCTGATGTCTATTAGTGAGCTTCATATTGGCCACTTCCATTTAGATCGGTGTTTCCCTTAGTGGGGTCCTTGCACCCATGGAATTCCACTCTAGGTCCATGCCTAGAGCCAGCATACTGCAGCAGGCATTTCTGCCACATGAAGTATGCCATTTTGTTTTTGCATGCACGGTGGGAGAGAGATCGTGCAGGGAAGGGCACTGGTCTTTCTTTGATACAGTTTAATGGCGTAACAAATAACCTCTAACTATTGCAGACTGTTTATTTTATGTTCCTTTGAGTCTTAATTACAAAAATATTTTTAAACAGTCAGTAAAGCAACATGACACTTCTATATCACAAATGAAAGGGGTCCAGAAAATTTAGGCAGATGCCAAAAAACTGCTGATTTTAGACTATTAAAAAAACTGATACTGGAATTAACAGGATACTGTACTTCAATCTAAAAGTAAGAAATAATATCCAATTTACCTTCACTGGCGCTGATTATAATATCGGGCTGAAAGACAATCCAAGAAGAGGAATCTAAACGTTAAAGAAAATTCTTAAAAAATAACACACCAGCCTTACATATGAAAAGTAGCATATCTCTTCATAAACTCACATATTAGCATTGCTTAAACAAGCCCCCAGAAATTGCTGATTATGACTAAACTCAAACAGCCTCATTCAGATCTCCAACACTGTCCCCTTTGTAATTTGTCACAAGATGATTTCCTCATTTCCCTATGACATTTCAGCTGAATACATTTAAGGGATTTCTTTACTAGATCTCTTAATATTAACATGAATTTTGATTTTGTATTGCTGCTATAACAGACTTTTGCTTTCAAAAACTCTATACCGCCATTTAATTCCCAGAGAAGCTTTATCTAAAATGAGAGAGAAACTATGAATCACACAGTGCCATCTTAGTTACATTAGAGTTAGGATGTTAAATTTTGATAAATCAGCTACTGGATTAGTTGATAAGGGGGAGAGTGGGGTGCTTGCTATCCCAGCTGCACCTCTGCCTTTTAAATTGAGTAAGAGAACCTCTGCACCACCATTTAAAAGGCAGAGGCACTGCAGGAAGCCCAGGGCAAGTGGGGACTCAAACAGTCCCCACTTGCCCTGGGTTCCCCACTGAGCCGCTGCTGCCCCTGCAGGGATGGTGCTGGGGGGAATTGGCTTTTAAGCTGGGTTCCCCCAGCACCGGCTCCTGCTCCCCCCCACCCTTGCTGCCTCTGATACAGAGGTGGTGGGGCAGAGGGGGTTGGAAGTGACTAGTCAAGTCGTGACTCAACTACTTGATAAGCCTATGCTTGTCAGTCAACTAGTCACTTACATCCCAAATTAGAATGGGACTACATTTCAAATATTTGTTGAAATATTCCAGTACACTCTATTCTTTCACCAAAAAAGAATATTAACAGCCTTGTCTAACAAGAAAGGAAGAACAAATATTTGATTCCTGCTTTTCACTTTATTTCTAATTGCAGAAATACTCCAAATTTGTAGTTGCCTAGAGAAATTATTACATCTGGACAAAGTTCCAGAATATAACTGAACCAAAGGATACAGAGTTTACAGGGAACAGGAGATTGATTAGTCACGGATGCTGGACCTACACATGGGGAGAAAAAGTTAACATCTGAAATAAAAAGTTCCAGGACAGATTGGTTTCTGTAGTGACAGCATTTCTGGATTGCTAAATGCTACACAAATTATAGCTTCTAAAGAGCTGAAGTCACAAAGAGTTTACAGTGTATCTTTAGTGCATTACTATGCAACTACTATTAAAAAGTGACAATAGCAAGTGTGAATCATGACATTTTATTATCTGAAATACTGTATCTTGGAAAGGAAAACACAATTTTTGCATGAATAAGAATGTGTGCTAATCATCTAATAAACCTTACCTACTTATGACACCACACTAATGATTAGCTTTCAGTTTGAGAAGTGGAGAGGCAGAATGAGCAGAATCAAGTGGCAACAAGTTCTGCAGTCAACCATGATACATAACTTCTTGTTCATAAAGCTACATCACAGCAACAAGCTACTTAGGGATATATGTTTAAAAGACTTTGCAACACTAGGTGGCAAGTTATGATTTCAACACAACACACAAGTATTCCACAACTCAGTTAAAAAAACAAAACAAAAACAGGTCACAACCTATGCTAACAATAAAAATCCTGCTCTGTTTGCTAGATACTGCATGCAAGCACATTACTGTATTTCTTAAGTTCCTCAAATTAGACAGTGGTTTTTGCATTCTGAAATTAAGCAATCCTGTTTGTTACATAGTATTATGTTACATATGTACTCAAAACACATATATGCCAGTTGCCAAATCAGGTCTCTCTCAGTCATTATTTCCATTGTGACATTATGAAAAAGAACGGGTCAGAACTAAGCACTTTAAAGTAGACGATCCCATCCCAGGCAAAATATTTACAAGATCCCTTTAGTCCAGTCTAGGCTACTGTGTGCTTCACTGCTTGTAGAATCGTAGCTGTGGTAATACTGTATCTGACCTGGGGTGAACATCCCAGTGCTGGAAGGATCGTCAGGTGGTAAAGTATTTATGTAAGTTGATGTTTCTATTCCACCTATGACTAGCATAAGGAACCTGCATGCTGCTACGTTGAGCCTCTGCTATGGTTTCAGGATCTTGGTGCTGTTAGCAGTTACAGACTATTACAAAGGACCTCAGTTGTTCTAATGTATGCCCAAGGACCAACTCTAAACATTGCAAGCTCTAAAAACAGGGGTGTGCAAAAGCACACTTTACACCACCATAGCTTTATAGCTGTAGCACACTATGTGGCATACAGAAATCAGAAGATAGTTTAACAAGTGTGTCTCCTACAGTAACAATTCAGTACCTTAATTTTAAAAGTAAGCAAATAGTTCACAGACACTGAACACAACTCCCATACACCACTTAAATTGTACCTCAAGATACAACTGTAGGTGAATAAATATCTATCTTAAGGAGTAATTGTTACTTTTGTGCATTTTATCATAGTTTAAGCACAAGAGGAGAAGAAGGGTGATCCAGTGATTAGGACATTCAGCTGGGGCTCAGAAGACTGGGTTGAAGTCCTTGCACAGCCACACACATCCTCACCCTCACCTCCACAACAGGAAAAAAAAGTTCACCGTGTTTAATAATGTTACCTGCCACAGGGATCTGATAGGGTTGTATTGATCGAGCTGGAAGAACAAGTTGATGAAGGGTAACGGTCCCATCAAATTCTCCTTTTAGCTTGATATCAAATATTACAGATGTCTACAATTGAAAAGAAAATTCCCCCTCATTTTTATGTCCATAAGATATTAAGCAAATATAAGAGCACATCACAAGTTATCCATGTTCAAATGCTTTTACATTTATTTCATCCTCCACTCTTATAACAAACTGTTACTTATTCCACTTGGTTTACAGGTGCTTCAAATTACCAGAAGTATGTTTTCCTCAAAATTATTACAGAACCATGTAACGTATCAAGATTTTCACTAACTTTAAAGCCAGATTTGAGTTTTGTTATTAGTTAAAAATACAGATGATGCAATTCTGCCACAAATGAGAATGTATTCTCTGTAAGAGACCTGTATTAGAGACATCTCACGCTCAATACTCAATTTGAATAGGTTACATACCATTCATTTTAAACTTGCTTTTCAGGGAATCCTATTCAAATTGAGTATTGTCTGCCTTCCGTGTGTGTACGCCAGCACTTGCTGCTTGACCCAGATAGTACCAGAGAATAAACACATTGTATAAAATGTTAAATTAACATACTATACTAAAACCACAATTAAAAATACTGCTCTGCAACATCTTCTAATGGGGCAAATTCTTTTTAATCTGCCTGGAAGAAACTCATTTAGGATCTTTTGTTCAAGTAAAGATCTAGCCACCATATACAGTATTTCCTCATGGACACATTAACTACTGAGACTCCAATGCTGCAAGAGCTCTGCTTTCAACTGGACAACTATGTACAGACGATTACACATCTGCCTAGGAGCTTTTCCTGTACTAGGGCTCTATAATTTAAAAACTAGCCTGAATGCAACATTAAGGTTTGGAAGTCAGACACTCAAGTCTCAGGAAATTCCCAACGTTTAGCATTTAATACTCAACTCAGGCCCTTCTTGCATATATGTCTTTAAAGTCTCTATTTCAGTCAAATACTACAAAGTAATTACAACTAAATTAGTATTGATGTATTTTGTTTTATTTTAGGATTACACAGAAAATGCTCCAAATATTCAGGGAGTAGTTAAGGCTCCAAAGGGAGCATTGGTTCAGCATACTGCACATATTCTATTTTATGGCATAGTATTTTATACTAGACAGTAATGAAAGTGTTTTTCAAGAAGACGTTTACAATTTCTCATGCAAACTGTTCCAGCAACTGTCAGAGGAGCAGCTTAGCTAAGCTTCCAGATCAGTGAGAATATACAGTGATGACAAAAACAGGAACAGGCTTTTATTGAGCTCTGGGACAAGTAAATCACCTACATCGCTTCTCATCACAAGCAATCTCCAGTTGTTTTTCCTCCCAAAACCAAGCAGGGTGTCTAATGAGGACTATGCCAGTGGTTCCCAACTTTTTAATACCACAGATCGGCAAACTCATTCACAAACTTTTGGCAGACAACATTGTTTTTGCATATTTATTATGTTAATTAATTTTTAGTGGTCACGTGTTATTTTAAGTTGCATCTGTATGCACACAATATATGTGATTGATCAGAGTTTGCAGATCTCTACAACATTAAAAAAAATTCACAAAAAGAATTCCCCTCTGGCTGCTGGGTGGGGCATCTCCTTCCCCAGGGGTGAGTGGTGCTTGCAGAGGCAGGGGTGCAGAGAGGGGCAGGGGGCATGTGGGGCACCCTATTTAGCAACTGAAATTTTGTCTGAGGCATAGGACCTGGTGCCCCCAAGAGCTACCACCAGTCACCTTTGCTCTCCCTCACTTCTGCCCCACGGGGTGTTGAAGCTGCCATTGTAATCTCCGTCGTCTCCTCCTGTACAATTCCTGCCCCATGTCTCTCCCTTCTCCAGCCATGCTGCTCTTGCTCCCACAACCTTCCCCCAGCCTCCCTTCCCAGCACTTCCTGCATCCTCCTCCTGCCCCCATCACACATCTGTGTTCCCCCTCACTCCCCTTATCTGCCCCCACCACTCTTCTGCCCTCTCCCAACCCCACCGCCTCGCACATGCTGGGAACTGGCGGCAGCTTCCCTGGGCCCCGGACAAGAATCACAGCCAGCTCCTCTGGAAGCAGCCCCGGGCACTGGGGTCACCACTCCCAGGGCAGAGCAGGGGTCTCTCTTACCCTTCCTGCACTGGGACAGGGGCTGGCCAGGCTTGGGGTGCTGCCCTGAGAGAGGTTCCTGGGGAGCAGCAAGACTGGTGCTGATGGAGATTCCCCCTCTCAGCTACAGTCAGGACTCTGGGGTCCCAGCAGCAGCCCCCACTGGTACTTGGGCATCTGGATGGAGTCTGGCCCCAGAGTCACCACGAGCAGTGGCTGCAAGTTACTACCTGCTGCAGGGGCCAAACCTAGCCCTGGCTCCCAGAACTCCCATCCGCTGCTGCTGGAACCTAGCGAGCAACCCACCATGATGCAGTCCCTGCCTCTGGGGGCCCTCCCACCCCTGGGCTCAGGCAGCATCCCCCGCACCAACACAACATCATGCAGAGAAGCCAACACGGTGCTGGGTGCAGGTAGAAGAGACAATCCCAGGGAGAGGAGAAGGGGAGTTTCTGGGCAGACTGGAACTTGTTCCAAAGTCCCGCTGAGCCAATCATCAAGACATGGCCCGGCGGTTGGGAACCAAAGGACTATGCGATAGATTTTCAAGGCACAAAGGGCGGTTTAGTACCAACTCTTATTCAGTGGGAGTTGGCCATATAATTGCCCTTTGATGATCTTCTGCATAACCATGACGAGTTGTAAACGTCCGCCATTTTTGCTACAATTTTGTTTAAAAGTTGTATTTTATGAAAACACGCACAATACGGAAATAGTTTTACCATTCTCTTAACTCAAGACATGCAGTAAGATTCTTCTCAAACTTTCCTAAAAATAAACTTCACTTTTGAAGACAGCCTCTAAAAAGGTGAACGTTTTGTAGAGTTAAGACCACAAAGATGACAGTGTGCAAGAATGGTAATTGTTTTGCAATCTGAAAAGTATTCAACACCAACTATGCTACAAAATAAAAATCTGTTGCACCAGCTTAATTGTATCCTATAAACACATGCTCCGACGCAAAATGGAAAAATTATTTTGTACACACGACTTCAAATTTTTTTTAAAAGCGTGAACTATTATTTGTGGCTTTTAAAGATCTTCTAGCTGAAACTATGTGAATTATTAAAATGCAAAGTTTCTAATAACAGGGTGACAGGGCTTTCAGTGGCTGTACTAGCTTTGCTCCAGCTGTAGATATAAATCTTATGCTGAAAGAAGCACTTTTATGCCCCAATTTTTTTGAATGAGAAACTGAAAAGATGAATTATGATTTTCATTCTAATGCATTAGAGTTAGGAGTGAGATTTTCTCCCCCCTATGCATTACGAACTCGCACCCTGATCTGGAAGATATTTACACACATCTTTAGCTTTACTTAAAAAAGGCTAAGCACATGCAAAATATTTGAAGGAATGGGCCATTGCCTCCAGAATATATAGCACAAACTTTAAAGACAAAATATAAATAATCTGTAGGCAGATCATACCTCAGTGTCCTGATGATGAACTACAACCAAGTTATCTACAACATTCAATGCAAACTTTCCTGTCCTGTTCAACTTTAATATATGCATCTTCTTACAGGAGCCTTCCCTATGAAAACATCATCATCATCATCATCATCATCATCATCATCAGAGAAAACATGCACTGATCAGCAAGATCATTTATATCTACAGACATAAAAAACAACACAACTTACCTTGGTAAATGATAAAGAACTACTTCTGCTCCTGTACTATTGGAAGTCCTTGAATGATGCCTCAGATAGAGAACATAAAGCTGACCGTATCTAAAAAAACATGACTAAAATGTTATCCATCAAACAAATGAATGTACTAGCAGAAAAATGGTACCTAGGAGACTCTTTCTGCAATGAAAACAGCAGGTTTTTCTATGAATACAGTGTCTGCTCAGTCTGTCCTGGTCACATTGTTTACCTTCAATAAGCAACTCACGTGATGTTACACATAAGTAAAGTTGCTTACAGAATCTAAATAAGGTGACAAATATCTATCATTCAGGCCAGCTCTGTCCATACAAGATTGTTCTCTGTTGTACATTTACCAGCCTTCTGTAATGTTTAGTTTTACATCTAGAGTAAAGATGTTAAAATGGAGGTAATTGATTAATTGATTAGTCGACTAATTGATGGAATTTCCATCACTAGTCAACGGAAAGCACTTCCACATTTCTCCTTTGAAATGTACAAGAACCCTGCTGGAGCTCTTGTACATTTCAAAGTAGGAATGGGGAACAGTCCAGGGCCAGTGGAAAGTCCCGCTGACTCTGGGCTGCATGCAGGTGCCTACTTTGAAATGCACAAGAGTCCCCAGTGTGGGCTCTTGTGCATTTCAAAGCCATGGAGCCTGGAGTCAGCAAGGGACTTGGAACTCCCCCCCGCTGACCCTGGGCTCCATGTTATGGGCTCCCCTGCTCCTCTGAATCGCAAGAAGGCAGCAGTTTCAAAGGGGCAGCTGCTGCACAGCTGATCAGCTGTGCGGCCACTGTCCCTTTAAAACTGCTGCCTCTGCACAATTCAGGCTCTAGGGCTGCCCCTTGAATCTCCACACACTGCAGAGGTGGTGTTTTAAAGGGGCAGCCCACCACTCAGCTGATCCTAGGATCAGCTGTGCAGCTACCGCCTTGGGGTTTCAAAGTGTATTTTGAAGTACCCCTTCCCCCGCTCCCCTTTTGCTGCCTTTATTTCATAGAGGCAGCAAGGAGAGGGGGAATTGACTAGTTGACATTACAATCCAATAAGCAAATGCTTATCTGATAGTCGACTAGTCTTTAACATCCTTAATCTAGAGTGATAAAGATTTATCTGCCTCCTAATCAGTTCTCTCTTTTTATAAGAGTTCTTCAGGTTCCTTTACATTCAGTCAAGTACTATGCACTTTAACAATATTCTGCTAAGAGATAAAAAAGCAGACTCAATTGCTGCAGTCATTTTACCATTATTGAACCACATCCTCCTCCCTCTGGACTTCCACTGCAAAAAATTCTTAACACTTTTCAAATGAAGGAAAAGACTGATTATTCAGCGATACATACATTGTTGCCATAGCGATATCTCGTTCGGAAAGGCTGAGTTTGGAGGACTTGGGTGCAGCAGGTAATTCAATTTCAAACTTGGATAATTTTGACATTGTTCCTCCCTATTTAAAAAAAAAAAAAAGTCTGCTGAGTCTAATCTAAAGAAAGTTTCTTCTTTCCGTTCTGTGAAGCACTGTGATAATATGAATGACAACTAGTGGTGAGAAAGGGTGATTACTGTTCCAAAAAGAAAAGATTTTAGTGCAATCAACTTATTTATTTACTACTATCTGTAGTGTGTCCCAATCCCTGTTTTGGTAGGCACTTTATAAAGAGCAGAGTTATTACTTTAACATTGTACTTCACCAATTATAGTCAATAAGACCTTAGGCTTCCGTTTCAATATAATTAAACCAATATAAGAATCATAGTCAAACCCATTTACAGTTGAGTATGGAATTCTAGACCAGAATGGCCTGATTTTCAGAGGGGCTGACCACCACAGATCTCTAATGAGAACAGTAGACACAGAGCCTCTCTGGGATGGGCATGGATAACTTACATAGATCATGAAAGCTTTTTGTTTTACATCTGACCTATCCTGAAAATTTTTTTTCACATTTTATATTGTCAAAGGTCTTTTGAGGAAGTTAAAACAATATTAACATTTTAAATGAGAAACTGAAAAAACTCACCAGATACCTATTAGTCAGCAAGGTCCTTGGCAATACCATGATCACAAGCCCAAGCCTTCAACCACCTGTTGGGAAGATGCTAAGACTCCTGGAACACTGCTGTCTCAGGAGCCTGCTTGGGGATGCCTTCCATATAAACTGGAGCCAGTAAACATGATACATGGGAAACACCCATTTTACCTCCTCCCTGACTACTGGAAGAAGAAAGTATGCCTTCTTTGGAGACGGGGTGGGAAAGAAAAAGGATCTGTGCAGTTCTATCCCCATCTAATCCCTTTCTACCATGAATATTTCCAGTGTCCAGTTGCTGAGCTCAGTCAGTTTTCCTCAACCCACAGCAACATGAAATGGGTTTGATTCTCGTGAGACTGAGATGCTGACTAAAGGATTTGAAACAGCAGCTGCAGAAGTAACAATTTTTTCCCCCAAGCATCACAAAATTGTGCCACTAGTGATGCTTGGGAACAACTGTGCAGTTGTCTCCATAGGCTAAAGATAAGAACAATGCACTCATTCACATTTGCAAGGTTACTGTTAAAAGCACAAGTATTATACACTTAGTTTTTCCTTTAAATGAAAGATCACTTCTGCAGAAATTGAAGGCTTAGGCTACTGCAGTTGCTACTGGGGTTAGATTTACAAGTTGTGTTTTAAATATATTTAATGGAAAGGGACATTTCTGGAAAGATAGCATCACAGTCACTGTCAGTGTTCCCTGTAAATTGTGCAGCTACTGAGAGATTCAAATGTTGTCTAGCTGATTAACAGAGCACCCACAGCTAGCTTTTGTTCTACTGGTCTGCACATTCGCACAAGCCTCAGGACATAGAAAATGCACTCTGCACATGAACGGAAAAATCCACACATGAATGGAAAAGATAACATTGGTCACTGTGTCACCAAAATATATATATACAGTAAACTTCCGATAATCCGGCACCTTTAGGACCCAGGGGGTGCCGGATTATCAGATATGCCAGACTATCAGAAGGGGGGGGCTATGAGGGGTCTGGGGTGGGGTGGACATAGAAAATGCACTCTGCACATGAACGGAAAAATCCACACATGAATGGAAAAGATAACATTGGTCACTGTGTCACCAAAATATATATATACAGTAAACTTCCGATAATCCGGCACCTTTAGGACCCAGGGGGTGCCGGATTATCAGATATGCCAGACTATCAGAAGGGGGGGGCTATGAGGGGTCTGGGGTGGGGTGAGGGGATGCTACCCCAGGCCCCCTCATAGCCCTCCCTTCTGATAGTCCGGCTCTGCCCCAGGAGCCCCCGATTCAGCTGCTGCTGGTCAGTTTCAGCAGCCGCTTCA